CTTAATAAGATACCTATAGCACAAGAATTAAAACCAAGAATCAACAAATGGGACAAATTCAAACTAAAAAGTTTTTTCTCAGCAAGAGAAATAATATGTGAGGTGAATAGGGAGCCTACATCCTGGGAACAAATTTTTACCCCTCACACATCAGATAGAGCTCTAATCTCTAGAGTATACAAAACTCAAAAAGCTAAACAACAAAAAAACAAAATCAACAAATGGGCCAAGGACCTGAACAGACACTTCTCAGAAGAGGATATACAATCAATCAACAAATACACAAAAAAATGCTCACTATCTCTAGCAATCAGAGAAATGCAAATTAAAACCACTGTAAGTGGAGATACACTCATACATTGCTGGTGGGACGGCAAATTGGTGCAGCCAACTTGCAARGCAGTATGGAGATTCCTTGGAAAGCTGGAAATGAAACCACCATTTGACCCAGCTATCCCTCTTCATGGTCTATACCCAAAGGACTAAAAACAGCATACTACAGGGACACAGCCATATCAAAGTTTACAGCAGCACAGTTCACAATAGCTAGACTGTGGAGCCAACCTAGATGCCCTTCAATGGATGAATGGATAAAAAAATGTGGCATTTATACACAATGGAATATTACTTGGCACTAAAAAGTAACAAGATCATGGCATTTGCAGGGAAATGGGTGGCATTAGAGCAAATTATGCTAAGTTAGCCAATCCAAAAAAAAACAAATGCTGAATATGACTCAAAATSGGGGGTGACTCAAAATGGGGTAAGGAGGAAGAGCATGGGAAGAAGATTACCTCTAGATAGGGAAGAGAGGTGAGAGGGAAAGGAAGGGAGAAGGGGAATTGCATGGAAGATGGAAGGAGACCCTCATCGTTATAAGAGAATACAAGTATGAAGATGTGAGGGGAAAAAAAAAAGAATAGAGTCACCTTAGATTGGGTAGAGAGAAGTGATGGGAGGGGAGGGGAGGGGATGGGGGGAAAGGAAGGATAGTAGAATGAAATAGATATTATTATTACTGTGTGTATATA